AAAAAAAAAATTGCATATTAAATCGCAATCGCAATATTGGTAAAAAAAATCGCATTTAGATTATTTTCCAAAATCGTTCAGCTCTACCGGCTAGTGCTGCAGGCTTATTGGCTCACTGACGCTGATGAGATTAACCCCTTAGGTATCGAAATCTGGTACCGAACGACGAGACGTTTTTCGATGCTCGATGGTACCGAGGCAATTCGGACGGTGCCTAAAAAGTATCGAACTCGATACCCAGCCCTACCTACAACATGATTCAAGTAACTTTTTCTTTATTAACCCTCTAGTTAAAGAAAATTATATTCCAAGTGCACCACACATGAAGTAAATGTTAAACAAATCACTTGTTAAATATCTTTGCAGAAAAGAGGCATGAACTACAACTACATATTGTACAAACCTGTCTTACACGTATTATGTGTTCAGAAATAATACGAGGAAAATGCTTGAAAAAATCGTAAATGACACCAATAGACTATTATTAACTATAAATGTTCTGTAAAAACAACAGCAGCTTTCTATTTCTGGTCAAAATCGCGATCCCTCGATTTCTAAAAAGTAAAATCGTGGCAAAACATTAAAATCGTCTTAAAGTGAGTTTTGATTGAGTAGCTTATAGATCTGTGCTGCTCGAGTCGCGAACTGTTTCAGATGCTCCCGTCTGATTTGATCAACTCGTTTAACTAGTTCAATAAAAATAACCAGTTCATAAGAATGATTCGTATGTGACTCCAGACTAGGAACGATAACGGAATTGGCTTAAAATGTAAATATCGGCCCGATATGAAAAATGATGCCGATATGTTTGCCGATAAGACAAATAACGCGCATGTTCTCAAAGTTTGCTTGCGATAAGATCACGTCAGCAGTGCTGTTGGCCCACTTGTAATTTTTACAACTATTTTGCTTTAGACCATCCACAAATGTGAAATCTTACCACTCTGAAAACTATTAAATAAAAAAAATGCGGTGATTGATTTATATTTGATTTATAGTTGCCTTCAATGTACTCTCATTATAAAAGAACTTCATTGTTGTTTATTAAATTCTTTTATTTAGCAAACACTGAAAACTGCGCCATCTTTCACCAGTGTTATTGAAAATATCTTCCGCTATACAGGACCCTAAGAAATCCGCTTAATTTGTTCCCATTTTTTTGTATTTATTTTTTTGTATTTATTTATTTTTCTTAATTCCTGAATTCAAACAACCAAAAAAGCATGTGTAATTAATTGAAATCATGAAACTATATATTTTAACAACAATATATTTCATTTTTAACACTAATAATTTTTTCACAGATTATTTAATTTTCCCCAAATTCCATTTTAATGGTTAAAACAATTTTAATAATAAAAAAACATGTCTAATCAATTGAATTCATAAAACGTAATAATTTATACAGAAAATAAATTTTTTTAAGAAATTCTGTATTGTCAATTTATGATTTAATACAAATGTGTTATTAAAACTGGTAATCAAACAAAAGCATAAAATATTAACAATTTAATTAGATTAATTACATTTAACTTTTATTTAATTAAATTAAAATTTAATTGGGAATGGAAATTTTTTGGGAAAGTACTGCACAACAGAGCTTTACAATTAAAATATGAAGAACAATTGTCTGATAG